GGATTGCTTGCTGCGCCGCGAGAGCGGGTTCCGGGGGGTGCAAGTAGCTGGTCTTGCCTAGGGTGCAAAATAGTCTAGCACCAGCCCTGCTGGCAGCACACCTGTGCTCTGTTCTGGTAACCTGCTGCCGACCTGTTGCTGTGTTGCTGACCCAGCTTGATCCCCCAACTCAATCCATCCAACTTTCTGCTTTCATCTGCTGATGACTATAGCTATGCTGTCAAGTTCTATTAAGCCTGAGTCTCATAGCCGTGGGCACTCGTACCACTCTGCACACTTGTGCCACCTGTTATCTCTATTAGGGTCCCCATGCTGTGGGTGCAAGAGAGGCTATCTTCTAGACATGTGCGATTCGTTTCGTTCCGAATCGAAATTCGGACGAATTTTTGGAAATTCGGACATTCGTATGTATCCGAATTCCGAATTACAGACATAACGAATGCAAACGAATCCGAATTTCCATTTCCGAAATTCGGTAGCGGTAGTTCGAACGTTCGTTTCGTTTTCGGTTCTTATTCGTTTCATATTTGTTTCGTTCGTTGGAGCAAAGTGAAATTAGAGAAGGAGAAAAATATTTTTTCCCCCTCAAATGTCACGAACGAACGAAACGAATAAGAAACGAATAAGAACAGAAAACGAAACGAACGTTCGACCTACCGCTACCGAATTTCATCCGAATTCCGAATCCGAATTGACTTTCACACCCGAATCCCGAAAAACCAAATAACACAAATCCGAATTTAAAACGAAACGAAACAAATTTTCTGGCATTGCACATGTCTACTATCTTCATCATTTTGGGCTCCTAGCCAGGTACATGACAGATGTTCCAATTTTACTTACTGTATTCCCACACATTAGACACATGTGTGGGAATATCCCAAACTCAGCTGAAGGTAACTGTAAAATGCTGTAGACAGAACAGTATGAAATGGATAGTACAATGTATGGGTATAACAGAACATCATGTATGATGTTTATAAATGTTATTATTTTACTGCCTTAGTGTATAAAAGTACATTTTCAGAAAGATTAAGGAATAAGAGGACAAGCCTTGCATGTTTTAGATACCTTAAAGTGACACTAAACTCAGGAATTAAATCTTTTTTTTTTTTTTCCGAATAACAATTTCTTTATTTTCAAAAAAAATGTTTCCAAAGCAGGTTACAAAAAACAAAATGCAAGACATTTCAAGATACAGCGTTACATTTCAGGTATTCAAAGCGTATAAATTGAGATCCCTTCCCTAGTATCCTAGATAGGAATTAAATCTTAAAAATGCATTCAAGTACCTTAACTATTAACAACGATGTAGATTATTTGTGCATCTCTGTAGATCCTCAAATCATCTCTGAATTGGTGCTGACACTGTCCTTCCTTCTGGAGGGTGGCTACTTTTGCTTCCCATGGTTCATGTGTGTGTTGTAAAATAGCCACCACTCCAAACTCAGTCCTATGATAGACTACCATCTCAGATTTCATTTACTAATTTGTATTGAGACTGTAGTCCATCAAAGTAGTGACCTTGGGGCAGTAGTTACTTTACAACACACACAGGGACCATGGGGAACAAAAGTAGCCACCCTCCAGAAGGAAGGACAGTGTCAGCACCAATTCAGAGATGATTTGAGGATCTACAGATGAGTGATACATAAATAATCTACATTTTTGTTAAGGTACTTGAATGCATTTTTAATATTTAATTACTGAGTTTAGTGTCACTTTAAAATATGTTTGTACTTTTTTCATTTCAATATACAACTTGCTAACTCTTTTCTATTAGATGTGTTACATTTGGTAAAACATCTCTTATCACCTATGTAGCCCTTAGTATAGAATAATATTCTTGTAAATCTGTTTGGTAATGCACCTTGGATTAAGAGTTTACAGCATTTGCTACCAGGGTGATATAAGGACATCTGCAGATTGGGCATACATGCTGGCAGTCAGTCCTATCAATTCTATAGAACGGGTTAACCATTAAGTCACCGCTGCCTTTGTCTTGATTAACATATACGCCTTTTTTCTCCTTTTCTACACTCCTGGCAGCCTACCAAAAAGATCCTCCAGAACAAGGGGAGACAAGCAAGGTTAGATTGTGAAAATTAATCATTACACAAGTGAACATACCTTTGGTGAAAAGGCAAAGCGCGTACACTGAATGCACCGTACATTGGACAGGGTTATTGTAAATCAATACTGCTGTACAGCATGTTAGGGTCAACAACACTATTCAGATCGTTGTTTCCACACTAACAAATTAGACAATGCTTTTAACATTTGTTTCCTAATAAAAATGCATGGCTAGTCCTGTCCACTGTGCCAGGCTTAAATGATAATACAGTCTATCTGGACATAATGTGAAATTATGATTGCACATGTTGTGCTATTAATAACTCCATTCTTGGAAGCACCAAGCTCTGTTTTTCAAGAAACATGTTTATTATATGGTCTCTTTTGTTTAACAGCTGCCAGAAACAATTGGTTCAGATTATCTAATTTTTTTAGTTTCAGAGTCCCAAACCCTCTTTTCTGCAGTGGGCTATTAGGAGCCTGGATCAGGATTTCAGCTGTCAAATCCACCTGATAACACAAAAGAGCAGAGTCTGCACAAGATCATGAATGTGTGTAGCTGGACCTGGTTTAGAAATGCCTACAAGTTATATATGTATATTGGATCTTCATTTTATCAAATATTAACCAGTTGACATCCGCGGTGTTAAACCCCCTTCCCATCCAGGCCATTTTTCAGTATTCAGCGCTGCGGTACTTTAACTGACATTTATTCCGTCATGCAGCGCTGTACTGAAATGAATTGTATACCCTTTTTTGGGGACAGATAGAGCTTTCTTTTGTGAGCACATATAGGCGATCGGCAGGCTATGGACCCGCTGATCGCCTATATGTGAAACACCCGGTAACGGGTGTGTTTAATCGCGCGAAGTAGCAGTGCCGTCCGTCCGTCCCGCAGATGTAGCAGTGCCGTCCGTCCGTTTTTTTACTACGGGCGGACGGCAAGAGGTTAATCAGTCTCCTCTGACTATTTTCAGCCAGCAAATGGAGCTTTAGGCTCATTTTCACATGTTAACCTTTTCTATTCTGAAGCTGCTTTGCTGAAATAAAACCTATTATTTACAGAGATCAATAGTTCAAGCTCAAATTCCTTCACACAACTAAATGAGTCATAGAAGTGTCATCTTCCTCCTTCCCCATAGCAGAGATTTCAACCTAGGGAGAAGCTTACTAGGGTGATCTAGAAGTGGCATGTAAATAGTAGAAGTGGCTAATTTAAATAAAGGGTTTTGTGTGTCTAATTTGATTAAAGAGAGGTACTTCACTGTATGAACGCTCCAGTTCCACTACAAAGATTTCCTCATGCAGCCAATTCTTGTAATTATCAACATTTCTGAAAGTTACTAAATGTTTATTTACATCTAAATGCTGCAGTCTCCACCTGCAGCTGTAAAGGGACACATTCAGTACCGTGCTGACACCACAACAAGCACATCTGGGGAGATGTAATTACTACCATACTTACACTGCCAGAAACACATCCACAGAGAGACAATCATTTCCACAGTGACACAGACAGTAACATGTCTGCTGAGATATAATCAGTTCTGCAGTGGCACCACCAGGAACTCATCCACAGAGATTCGTTTAATACATATGCTTTAAGATGACCAGTTATTTACTCATTAAAAATGTTGTATAATGTCTGTCAAATTAATTAATTTTAGGGCACACAAATGCAATATAATTAATTGGGGTTTCTTTTCAAAACTTAAAAGACAAGTCCAGTAAATAAATACCTATCATATGTGCCCACAAAACGGCAAAACAACTTTAACAGCTCATCTGTAAATAATGACCTCAGAATTGTTCCTCTCACTTAAGCCAATTTGTCTTTTACATTTGTCGTTTACCCCTCACATGTCAGTGTGCGCAGCGATACCCAATCTTATGCAATTGCCCTATATGTATATGTGTGTGTCCTACATGCTTATGTATGTGCGTGGGGGCAGCTGTATGAATTACCTATATTACCTAATTACCTAAATATTTATTTTATTTATTTGCATTATTGTTTTCTTTCTTTCTTTCTTTCTTTCTTTCTTTCTTTCTTTCTTTCTTTCTTTCTTTCTTTCTTTCTTTATTTCTTTCTTTCTGTCTTTCTTTCCCAAACTAAACAAATGAATATATAGAAAATCAATCATCACTTATGTCCTTCACAATTATACATAATCCCTATATGAATTACACCCTATAAACATTATTAGTATTGCTACTTTTATTCTAAAACTTTCTTTCTTTCTTTCTTTCTTTCTTTCTTTCTTTCTTTCTTTCTTTCTTTCTTTCTTTCTTTCTTTCTTTCTTTCTTTCTTTCTTTCTTTCTTTCTTTCTTCACAATAGGGCTGATAAGTCCTCTATGTAATTGTACTGTTCAGTAACAAGTCCTCCTTATGGAGACAACAGGGGTCTGCACTGTACCTGAGCTGATCGAGTACTACAGACAGTACCTGACCAGTTCCTACACCTTTAACAGCTGGCTGTGAACCTGGAAGTGCTCCCAGCTCAGTGCTTCTGGGTTCACAGCAAACAGGAAGCATCAGTAAAGAAATGTTTATCGATCCTACATTGCTCTGCCATTCTAAATGCCACTTACCACCCTGAATGCCTGGAGAGCTGCAATGTGTCCTGCATAGAACATTTTCCTAATTAATATCAATTATTGAAATAACCGTTTTGTTCTTTATGTTGTTTTAAAAGAAATAACACTGTAATCTTTTGTGCACATTACTTTTGCAGAAGGTATTACAACTCATTAAAGCCTTGTATTTCAATACACACATTTATGCTGCACTGATGAAACTATCTTTCTTGCAGTGTTTAAGTTAAAGCCAGAAAAGTAATTTTCATACACATGTCTTCTAGAAGTTTAAAAAAAAAATGTGTCCAAATTACCACTCTTATTTGGCATCTCTAACCTTTCTATCATCAGTTGTTTCTCTCAGTTGTTTCAGTTTCAGATCCACTGGTTCTTTAAGGGAGACATGTGAAGACAGAAATAGAAAAAAGCTGCTATTGCTCACTTATTTTTACAGGTACAGAGTCCAGGGCTGTCATTCTGTGTCTGGCTGCACTATCTTGTGAGTCACTGACCTGCATCAAGCATGTAACCAGTAAAGTCTGACATTTCTGAACCTGCCTGCTTGTTCAAAGTCAGTGACTCATTAGAAAGGGAAGTCAGGAGCAGAATTACAGCTGTAGAGCCTTCACCTTTAAAAGCAAGTCAGTAATGGTAGCTCCCATATTTCTACCCTCAAACTAACCTTTTAATGCTGTCCATCCACATCACCTCTTGTTTCTCTAGCTATCATTTTAATGAGAAATCCTGGTTTATTTAATTAAGTATTGAATAGATTTTTCCTTTCAGTCCAAGGAATTCTCAACACTTTTCTCCAGCACCACAATTAAAAAGCATTGATTTTCCCATGCTCAGCCTTTTTAACAGTCCAACTTTTACTTGCATATCTAACTGCAGTGAGGACAATAACTCTACTATAACTTGACTATATGAACCATTGCTTTTCAGTATCTTGACCAAATGTACCATAGTTGCCAAAGATAAATTCATTTAATAATGTCATAGATTTAGTCAACAAGTCAACAGCTACAGACATCTCACAGCCGATAAAAGTGGTCTATCACTGCCTCCACTTCTCCCTCTTCTGCTGACATAGCCATATTTTCTTTTGTTCTCTTTAACAAGAGTATCTTGAAATTCTTGTTTTCAGCAATCAGGAGTAGTCTGCATATCTGAGGCTATTAATATTTATTTCATCACTTTGTATTCTCACATCTGAATCTTCTAGCTGCCTTTAAACATAACTTCTTCCACATCTCAGAAAAACCTAAAGGATGTGTTGGATAGAACAATCAGGCTAAGCTTGGTCCACTGGAGAAAGAAATTGTCATCTACTCTGATATCCTATCCTATTTAGTCCTGACCCCAATAAATAATGAAATATGTACAAAATCATTGCATATACCCGTTAATTAGCTCACCTGCTAAACATAAAATATGATTGATTCAAAAGGTTTATTTGTTTGGGCTTACTCTACATACACTAGACATCTGATTACCTTAGTGTGGTAATACAAAGGCAGAAATATTCCTTGTTTAGAATTCATATAATAAACTACTGTTATCTTTTGTTGACCTTATTGTGCTTGATCACGAGTAACCATATTTCCTCTTAAAACACATTTCCCACTGGTTCCTCCTTCCTTCAAATGAACTTGGTGGGAATCGACTGCACTCTATGAAACTGAGGTTTCTTCAAGGGCAGCAAAGGAGGATAAATCTTTCTCTGTATGGTTCATTGTTACAGTTTCCACTTATGTGAAGTGCAAGAGGTTCTAGAGGCGTTTGAGAAGCATCTGATAAGTGCGGAAGCACAGATGTGGCATCCACTTGACAATAAAAATAAAGCAGCTCAGCTGCTTATCCACAGATTAACTGTATGTCAATGTATGGACAACTGTGTTTCACTGGTTTTCACACTATTTTTAAGTTGACTTAAAAAATTATAGTGCCATAAAGTGAGCTTATCTACACATAACCCATGATATTTGGAAACTTCACAGCTGTTGTGAACAGAACCAACTAATAGCTAAAAAAGAAGTAACAGACTAAAGTGTAGATTTGTATTTAAAAGGACCATATCCGTTTGATGCAAGTCATTACCTTTTCTTTATTGGTCAAAAATGGAGAGTAGTTGATGTTAGAAAAGCTTACCTCTCTATATAGAAACAGATGACCCAAATATTCTGTAAGAGTCTGGTGCAGAGTGACCATCTGAGGACATTTCTCCTATGTAACATCTTTCTCTTCTTCAGCCAGTGGTGCAAGGGCAGTCAGGGGAGGATTGGCAGTATCATTATTATTATTATACAGGATTTATATGGAGCCGAAAGTTTGCGCATCGCTATACAATATAAGGAAGACATTGCAGTTATAATACTGGATGATTTGTTCGAGAAAGTGATAGTTCACTGGTTAGCGGCAACTGTTGAATTAATTTCATGCATATAGGGGCCAATTTATAAATGTTGCATCCAGTGCATAGCTGAGCAGATGCCGTTTGCACAGCACTAGGAAATTCCTATGTTCCTCAGCACCATCTATGGCTCTAGTGCCGTGCGAACGGCATCCACCCAGCTACACACTGGAGGAAACATTTATAAATCAGACCCATAGTATTATCAACATGCCATTTATTTGTCCAAAGTTAATTGCCACCTGAGATAAACTGATGCAAGTCCATCAATCCACCTACCTATGGTGCATTGGAAAAGTTCAACATACCAGATGGTATAGTGCTCAATTGAGTATGGGTGAGTCTAAAACACAGGTTGTAATAATGCTTTGGATCAAAACATCTGCATTACAATGCAAAGTGTGTAAGTCTTAGGGCACTACAATCTCTGAAAATCATCTCCCATACAATGTATCTAATGGAG